TATATTTCATCATACAGATAAGCAATATTATTTCCTTCTATTCTGTTATCATGTCATACTGTTATCTTTATGTAACAATGATTTGCGAAATAACAAAGATATTTACACACAGTAGAAATAAATTGTTCTAATATTCTTGCTCTTACCTCACTTGCCTCATCTGGCTCATCAACAGCTTCCTCCCTGTCCTCGGTCGAAATGACGCTCTTGATGACCTTCTTGTGCCCATTGTTGAGGGTGAAGACAGTTGGTTTGTTTAGGTGGAAGGTGTGGCACGCAAGCTGAGACGACACATCTTGGCCACAAAGCTCTTGGCAGAGTTTGTTCTCGCTTATAGCCCCTACTGGAGGATGGTTCTTCTTTTGCTCAGCTAGACCCTTGCACTGAAAAATGAAGCTGAATGTCACAGTGGGATTCTTCTAACTTGCATCATATCCAAATCATTGTGTAGCAACTTTTTGAAGTGTATCTGCTTTTAGCAATAGTGTGGAAAGACTTTGGCAAAAAGGATTGCTTTTTGCTTACTGAAATATTATCTGTAATATATTTGTAGATAAGGATACTGTATCTCCATCACTGTCATCCTTATTATTATCCTTATTTTTTTGCACTAGCTGTCTTGTCAAACAGTACTAATTACATTTACAAGAACATCTCTCTTTCCTTAACAGATAAAAAAGAAATGAATTAAATTCTAACATACACTGAAACAATGTGTACCATACAGACAGCCAAATGGATATATATACAAATATAAATAGGGGGCTTATGCAAAATAAATAATGACAGGTAAATCTGTAAATCTGGAATCAAACTTTAAATTTCCCTGACAAGATCTGCAATGATTGTCTGAACCCTTGTCAAACATAATTTGAATTCTGTCTCAAACACCCAAATAATGTGACCCTCATTCTTTTGGTGAGAAGGGCTTCAAATCTTCAATTCTCCCTTGGCTTTTGTCCACCACTGTACTTATCCGATAAAAATATCCCTCCCCAAACCAGCAATTGTATTTGCAGGAAGAAATGTTTTTTCAGGTGAAGAGTATGACATTACTATCAGCTATTTAATCCTTCAAGAGGCAGTGGGTGTAAGAGAATGAAAGAATGAACAAAGAGCAAGATAGAGTGAGGAATGAAGAGGAAAAGTAAGTGGGAGAGAGAGGAAAAGAGACAGGAGCAGAAGTGAGAAAGAGGATAAACAGAGGGCAGGCAAAGGGAAGGAAGAGGAAGTGGGAGAGAAAAAGAAAGAGGATGACTAATTGGGGAGAGAAGAGAGAGAGAGAAAGGGGACGACTAATTGGGGAGAGAAGAAGAGAGAGAGAACGAGGATGACTAATTGGGGAGAGAAGAAGAGAGAGAGAAGGAGAACATAGGAAGAGACGGTAAGAGACAGGAAGAGGAAGAGGAAAGAGGAAGAATAGAGAAGGGGAAAGAAAGAGGAGGAACAGGGAGGGAGTGAGGGAAAGAAAAAGGAACATGAAATTAGAGAGGGTGAGGAAAGGAGCAGAAGAGAAACTGGGAGACAGTGGAAAAGGGAGAAGAGGAAGAGGGTACAGAGATTAAAAGAATAAGAAGGAGGAAGGCAGAGAGATAAGTGGCAGAGAGGGGAAAGCAGAAGAAAGGAGAAAGGAGAGAGGAAGAAAGGAAGGAAAGGAGAAAGAGAGGGAGAGGGAAGGTGGGGGTGTAAGTTAAGATATATATAACCAGTAAAGAACATCAGGCATAGAAGTACATCAAATGAAAAGAATATGCCCCAATTGTTATCAGGCATGGCAGAGGTAAAAGATGTGCAGTCGGGATGTCGAGTCGTGAGCATCAGAGGTAGAGATAAATGATATAATGAATGTGAAATGTAGAGGATAAGCAGGTGGATCTACAAGGACCATATAGACCTATGCTGGTGTTCTTATTAATAAAATATGAGGTGGGACTAGTTTTGGTTATATCTTGTCAAATGTCATACTAAATACAGTATGATGAACTTTATTAAAATAGGGATAACACAAATTTACAAAGCATTGTAGGGAAAAAGACTAAATGTAGTAATATGGATGATAAAACCTATAAACATTTACTTACTCACACCACTCAAGTGACTGCGTAGGTCTCTAGCAAATGTACAATAATAATCCTGTATACCAGTATCTAGCTATATGGCAAGAAAAAGCCTATAATCACTACTTAATTACCCTATTATGGGATAAGCATGACCTGCCTGGCCTACTGCTTGATACACACAGAACCTGTGTGTATCAGCAATACTACTATAAGAAACCCATACCGACCATTATACACTAATCTCTTAAATAATATATTCATTAATTTGACCCAAAAGAAGTAAAAAGAAAAGAAAAAAACAAACAAACTGAGATTGTGCACTGAAGAATACATATACAGTTGTAGAGTGAATGTTGTGTGTATGCAGACAATCAACATACGCAGAACATACAAATAGTAAAATGAATGTATGCTAATATCATAAATGATAGGGAGCAGAC